TTCCAAACTTTACATAACAATAATCACTATCATCTAAAGATGAACATTTTCTTCAGAAATGAATTAGAAACAGATAACACCAAAAAGAATTCTCCGTTTATAACACCTAAATCTAATGCATCAGTAATGAATAAATATTCAAATAAACAAATAATTGAATAAAACAAAATAAAAGAATTCACCTGCGCACACGTTTTGCGTGGTGCATCCGGGTCGATACAATTCAATGAATTTGTTATTTTGCAAAAATCATTTTTGTAAATTCGTTTCAGAACGACAAACATCGACTGCTGCGAGATGGTCCATTGATCGTTGCAAGCGGCACTCGTATCATCCACTGTACCCATTTCAGTTTTGATATTCAGTTCTTTATTGTTGCTCGTTGACAACTGCTTGCGTGACTGTTCATCCTTTAATTCAATTCAACACAATATTCAGAAAAAATTCATACATTCAATATCAATAATCACTTCATTCTATAATATATCTATTTTCAACCAAACACATCTAAAACAATCAACAAACCATGTTCAATCGAAAACAATTTGCGCCACAAATCAAATTCGATGCATTCAACGAATAGCCTCTCTTGCGGTTCTTACTCATATTCCGATTACTATTCCGATGACTGTTTATCATCTCTTGATCTTCGGCACTTCCGAATCCTTCAACAATAAATCGTAATTAATTCGTTCAGCATTTCGTTCAGTAATTAATCATCATAACAAAACCATAATGGCAATAAAAATGATCGAAACTAACCGTGTAACATACAGTCATAATTAAAACACCTGCAACATCTCAGTAAACGAAACGAACTGTACGCCGTTCCATCAATATAACCAGCCATCAACTTGTCTTCCACTGATGAATCCTCTGGTTCGTAACGACGTTTCAAATCATCATATCTATTTTACAATAATCATTACTATACTCAAAATAAACAAGCCCATATCAAAAAGCAAATAAACTTACAATGAAGGTAATTCTCGCACTGAGGCTTTATTTGGGAACTGCTTGTGAATCGCTTCAAATATCATTCGTTTATCTTAAATTAATACCGCAATCATTAATATCATCATTACTAAATCCGTTTGAATCAACTGATGAAAATTATCGAATAATGTTCAATAACAAATAATACTGAACTAACAAACACAAAAATAATATTCAATAATAATCACAGGAATCGGTAAACTAAATGAATAACTGAATAAATTAAAACGAACTGATATCGGGATGTTTGACGAATAATAACTTAATCAATTTATACAGAATATTATCATTTATTACTTCACCACACCCAGTCCTTGTACCGTGGATTCCCTTCAATATCATTTCGGTTTCAATTCCACAACTAATTTA